GACGTCACTATCAATAAAGTAATTGTTCTGATTTTTTAAAATAACGAAAGTGGTGATTCTACCAATCAATATATCAATAAATTAATTGACATCTTTAAATACGTATGTTACAATACTACACATAGTGCCGATGCTCTCATGTAACCAAATAGACGAACAATAGAGAAAACATAGGGAAGGTAAAAAAGATTCATAGTGAACGACCTTGACGTCACAAAACCAAACGAAATCTGTACAGTTCTAAAGCCACACATGTCTACACAATAAAATGACATCTTTAAATCTAGATTAAACAGAATTAAAAAGCCAATGCCGAAAAGAATACACGATAATATGGACGTCAACGACACTTGATAATACAGACGCTAACTTTACCGCCTAATTTATTTGTCTTATCTTAAAAGTGATCTGCATGCAGAGTATCTTTCAAGCATCTCATAAGGGGGTGGGGGAAAGGTGGCGAAGCCCTCCCACCTCACTTGCATTTACCCCCTCCCCTTTTCACCCCCACATCTATCCCCCATTGAATGAAATACAATTTATGTATATACTTTTATCAGTCTCAGCCACCCGGCCTCAGATAATTTGATTCGCCCCCCCCCCCCCCCCTCTCCATAAAAAAAACTCAAGTACCACCGTCGCTACCGGAGAAAATAAAGTCTGAAAGAAAACATTAACTGCATGACTGAGATTTAGTTGCCAAAATTAGGAAACTGGTCTAGAATATAGAAACAGGCTCTACCATTAGTCTGTATAATCTACCAATCCGACTGGTTTTTCTGTAAGACTTCTTTCTCCCTTGAGGCGGGAGAAGCACTTGCAATTTTATTTTGAGGGGAGGGGGGGAGGAGGTGGATTAACTTTGGAGGAGGCAAGAAACTGGTAAAAGACATTGATTTTTTATTTATGACTCTTTCGTGTATTATGAATACGTTCATAAGCGATACGTGCTTATGTGAAGTCATGTGCTAAGTGGTGCGAGGTGTGGGTTGTGCTATGTGAGGTAGAGGAATGTGGGACGTGGAATGTGGGACGTGGAATGTGGGTCGTGGAATGTGGGTCGTGGACTGTGGGTTTTAATGTATATTTAGGATGTTTTGATTTTTGCGGTGTGTTGTGTAAGATGTTGATGTTCAGCATGTTGGGTGGCGTTTGGAGTGTAAAGTGACGAATGGATCGGTATGGTGAGGGGTTTATTTAGGGGTGACGTATATGGTGTGATGCTGAGTGAGGTGGTGTGGTTTAAGGTGTGGTGATATTTGGTATGCGGATTGATCTATTAAGCGAGTTGTCTTTAGTATGTGTGTTGTGAATCGCGTGTATGTGTGATTGTACGTGACTTGTGCGAAGGCTGTGGTGAGGTTCGTGTTATGCTATGTGACGTCGTGGGACGTGTTTTGCTGGTTAAGGGAGGACGAGAGCTGGGGTCTTATTTTTTAAAAAAAAGTCAACGGGAATTCCATTATTGATTTTTATTTCTACTTATTTTCGACATTTCAAACTGCAGCTACTTTGTTGTAATTTTACACATAAGTAACAATCAAATAATGAGTTTGAACCATTTAAGGTAGTATTGTTTAAATAAATGATTAATTCCCTTTGTGGGTGTTCGATTTAAAAAAGACATTTAAATGAAAATATATTGTTTATTTTAAAAAATATATCTTTGACTGAATGGAGGTTTATCATAACTATAATAATAAATAGCTCCTAACATTTATGTTTAATTAACTTTAAATTGTTTTAAGGATGGTTAATTGAATGAATGATAAATAATTCAACTTAATTAAATTAAAACATAATACTATTAAAACAACAGACAGGCGTTATGTTTTAAAATCTTTTATTTGATATATGAGCTTTATTTTATGTTTCTTCTTAAATATTTGTATGTTCAAAACGCATCAACCTTCGAAACATAAGAGATTGTACTTAACCTTAGCAGCGAACATAATATTTTGTCAGGGGCGTAGCCAGGATCGTCTCAAGGGGGGGGGTGTTCCAATTTTTACCCGGGGACAAACTTTCGATTTGCACCCCCCCCCCCCCCCTCAAACTTTCGATTTGCACCCCCCTCCTCAAACTTTCGATTTGCACCCCCCTCATACTTTTTATATATACCGAGGGGTCTATGGGGGGGGGGGGGGTTTATGACCCCCCCTAACCCCCCCCCCCTGCCTACGCCACTGTATTATGTGAATTAATGTAATAATCTACAGTGAAACATGATTGCTAAAGTAAAGTCTATACATTAACAATAGTAACAATGGAGAATCGTGAGTCTTATTTGTATTTGCAAGAGCAATCGTACATATTTTCTACTATTATTCTAGTTTTTGATAACTTAGTGGATCTACATTTTGTACTTCAATACAAAATGCTTATTAATCAAATCATATTTATTTTCCTGGTTAATGATTTCAAAATAAGTATTAGTTTAAAGTTTAAATGATGAAATATTTTTTTTACAATCGTAAAAACGCTCGAAAAAGTATAGGTGTTACGTCAACGATTTCTTATTTATATTGATTAGTTCAAGTAAAACTTAGAGTGTCTCAATATATTGCTCTGTTAGTTGACAGTCTTATATTGTATTAGAGCCACGTGTGTTGGATCAACGTGCTCTATTCTCTTATATTCTCTAGTCTTTGGTTAATCTAAGCGCTGGATTAAACGCTTATTTGTAATCTCAGTTTGAAAAATTCAAATACATTACATAAGTAGTTTGCTCTATAAATAATAGATTACATGAAATAAGAAAAAAATTAATCAAAGATGAATGTATATGGTTTATGATACACCCTGATTTATTTACGTTATTTGGGCAGGATTATGCAATACATATTTTTAAAAAAAACGTTTGGTAAAACATAAAATTTGTGATCTCAAATGTGGGTTCATTTATTCTTTTAATTTCTTAAATAAAACGCTTATACTAGTATCCGTTGATATTTCATTATGAGTTATATATTTAAATATAAATTATTGCTGTTTTTTTATTTCGAATACTATAAACTAATTTTTGTTCACCACAAAGAATACCAAAATCAAGTTTGTGCAGTATAGTTAAACAGGTCTGCTATATATTTTTAAAGCTGATTATATAGTTACACTAAGGTAGCAGGACCTGGTTTGGGTTGGTTTGAACATGAAATCTTATCCACTGACACCTGAGATCTCTGTCATTAAATCTTATCCATGGACACCTGAGATCTCTGTAATTAAATCTTATCCACTGACACCTGAGATCTCTGTCATTAAATCTTATCCACTGACACCTGAGATCTCTGTAATTAAATCTTATCCACTGACACATGAGATCTCTGTAATTAAATCTTATCCACTGACACCTGAGATCTCTGTAATTAAATCTTATCAACTGACACCTGAGATCTATGTCATTAAATCTTATCAATTTTAGCACAACGGGACACACGTAGTTAGGCTACATCCAGGTCAAACTTTACATTTCAGTGAATTGGTGGGACTGCAGCGGATTTATCTACACTCATCTATACATGTATCAAAACATTCAATGACGTATTATTCGATCGCTGCTGCAGGATTTAACTTTGCTCTATACTCTATAGTGTTAATATGTGTAGCACATTGTGATCGGCACCAATAGACACAATATAATAATTGTTTTATTTTTAACAATACCAGCAATCAATAATATGTTATGTGTATGTAGGTGTGTGCGGGGAGGAAGAGGGACATGTAAAAAAGTGTTGAATCCCGGTATTATTAGTCCAAGCTTTCGTCAATGTTAGAAATCTACTCTTGTCTGGCCATACATAATCTGATTATACACTCAGTTGTCATATCCACACTACACATTAATGTCATATCCACACTACACATTAATGTCATATCTACACTACACATTAATGTCATATCTACACTACACATTATTGTCATATCCACACTACACATTAATGTCATATCCACACTACACATTAATGGCATATCCACACTACACATTAATGTCATATCCACACTACACATTAATGTCATATCTACACTACACATTAATGTCATATCTACACTACACATTAATGGCATATCTACACTACACATTAATGTCATATCAACACTACACATTAATGTCATATCTACACTACACATTAATGTCATATCCACACTACACATTAATGTCATATCCACACTACACATTAATGTCATATCAACACTACACATTAATGTCATATCAACACTACACATTAATGTCATATCTACACTACACATTAATGTCATATCCACACTACACATTAATGTCATATCCACACTACACATCAATGTCATATCTACACTACACATTAATGTCATATCTACACTACACTTTAATGTCGTATCTAACAGTTTCACACTTTACCACTTTGTCCAATCACTTATGGTACAGTTATCACGTGATGTATTTCACGTAAGTAGTAATTAGCTAGAATAAACTTAAATGAGTGCCCTTTAAGTTAAGCCTCAATCAAACGTATTTGAAGATTCTACAGCATAGCGGAATGTAACAGACTGTAATAGAATGCATACTAGTCTCTATGTATCTAGCTAAGGTAAAATTATTATTCCAGCTGTACCGGTTACAATGTAATCGTGAAATGCATGGACCAGTCAAGTTAAAACACGGTTGATGGTATATACATTTTTTAGAATACAATTGAAAATACAGTCCGCCGTCCAAGAAAGGGATATTTAAATTATATATATATATATATATATATATATATATATATATATATATATATATATATATATATATATAAATAGGGGCGTAGGGGGTAGGGGCGAATATGAATTTACCTCAATTAGATGCAACCAACAGACTTTGCTTTAGACAGTTGCTTGAATGTTAAACTATTTTAATTTACGTAACATCATCTCTGCATTTATAATTTTTTAACTAAGCTCATGTTATTCAAAAATTGCATTTTTTTTTAATATGAGGATTTTCTTTTGTTTTAGTGTTTTACAGGTTCTAACACCTGGTAACGATGATGTGTGTTATTTGAAAAACAATGTTAAACATTGAAGGTAAACCTATCTAGTTTTTCAATGTTTTAAGACTTCTTAAACAAAACAAAACAAGTTTATCATATATGTTTTATAATGGTTAAGACACCATTATCACATATGTTTTTTTAATATAGTACTGTACATAGAATAACGACTTTCCTTTCAAAATTATACACAATTAACAGTTAAACAAAAGCAATACAATTTTGATTTTTTTTAAAACATTTATAACAATACAATCTTTATATTTTAATATTATTTCTGTAAAATGTAAGGTGTATTGTATAGTTGTGTTAATTTGAGTTAATTTATGTAAAATTTACAACTATTCACTTGGAAAAACACGAAATATAAATTAAACAGGGACTACAGGCAAACGTAACGTAACATAACACAGCTCCAATTCTCGCCGCATTAATGATTATCGACATATCGATTTTATCGATTATTTAATTAAAAATTCAAATAATAGCTACTAGAAAAACATCCAATTAAAAAAGTATTTTAGGTAAATAGCCTGCTTAACGTATTAGCTAAGGTTTATTTTTTTTTCAATGGAAGTTACCTGACTCGCATGATGTGTGTTCAGTAGCAAAGTTTGTCTGCTGGACAGTGTGCTGGTGACGTTTGCCTGAGGCACTTGTGATTTAGTTTGCTCACACACAGCAGTTTATTTTTAGCAGGTAAAATAGGTTCCTTATTGTTGTTTTTTTTTTAATTTATCATTAGCAATATATAAGACGAAAACAAAATGTAGCTAAAGAAGATTCTAAAACGGTGATGTATGTTTGATAGTAAATTTGTAAACATAAACCTGTTCACATAAATACATATAATAAATAAACAAAATACAGTGGTACATAGACATTTTAGTGCCACGGATAAGGCATTATTTAGATATGAGACGTAGATCTAAATAAATTTAGCTTTTTGACATACGAGCGAGATTTAAGATAAGAGTAACCCAATTAGTTGGCTTAAACAATTTGTTGAAAAGAATGTGAATTAAAGTAATCGAAAGACGTTTGCATTGACAGTGAGTAATTGAACGAATTAAATCTCCTTCTCTAACCTCCACTAGCCTCCACTATCTTACAACAGACCTACATCAGCGTCTATCTTAAGCTCAACTTGTCTGATTTTAAGGGTAAATAAACTTTTTAAAACTAGTTTATTTCATAAACTATATTCTCATACATACATACAATTTTCTTATTTGAAATAGGTATCCGAAAATCAGGGTGGCGTTTTAAGGGCTGGGAAAAATAAATGTTATTCCAGTTAGACATTAACTACATCTTACATTTCTCTATTGAGTTTGGACCGTGGGGATTCCACAGATCCTTAGTGTTTCAATACTTGTCGTTACTTTTATTTAACGAGTCAAATATATAAACTATTCATATTAAACTATGATCTTAAGCTAGAAATCTATATTAATATACACGTTAATACTTTTTAAAGAACACACTTATAATTTTTTGTTAGTTTTCATTTCTTATTTAAATATTCCGTCTAATTATTTTCCTACTATGATAGCACAAATCTCAGATGACGGAACACTTTACAAGAACGCCCAGTAAATATTTATTTTAGTTTATTCTCCAGCAGAGGGGCACCAATTCGCATTACCCTCAACTTGGACAAAAAAAGAAAGATAATGTTTAGAAAGAGCATATAATTATTTTTTTTTTAATTTACGACCCACACTCCCTTAGTCATTCAAGTATCTGCTTTAAAAGCAGTACTCGGCACTGGTCAAAGTTATAACCCGTTATCACTACATGTGCTAATTATTTTCATTTCGTTTGTATCCTTACGAGGATTGTGTATTAAAATTAGGGTAGGTGAATGGATACAATAGACAGAGTGCCTATCTTGACACACAACCCCCGATCACAATTTTATAAACAATTGTCGCTTTTGAAATTATAAAGGAAAGTTGTGTTTACGTTAAAGAACAGTATCACTGTATAACTTTGAACACCTGATAGGTTTTGTCTGATTTTGTATACATTAATATCGATTAGAAAACCTCCCGAACTCCAAAAGTTTGAAACATGAATCCATTTTGTGTGACAGTAAAAATCACTTGGTTCATGCACTGAGTGTTTAACAACTAGTTGGTTTCATACCCTTGGAAAAATCATTTAGTTTTCGTGGTCGCCTCTCTGTTGGTTATAGTATCATTAAAACAGATTACATGTACGTGTCGGTCAGTAGCGTACGCAGGGGGGGGGGGGAGCAGGGGGAGCGGCCGCTCACCCTCTGGCCATTTTCAGCAAAGTGGCGCCTTTTTGGAAACTTTTTAAACTCAAAGTTTTAAACAGTGATATTTGTTAAAACAATATATTTGGTCGGCACATCTATGTAAATCACAAGATTTCTTTTCATGCAGCAATTAAGCATTATTGTACTAGTCTAGTAGTGTCTACGTTTACAACACGTATTAACAGCTGCATCAGTTTGCCATTCTAAAAATAACCATTACGATGCATTGCAATTTTTAAAAAAGCTCTACGTGTAGTACCACTTGGCAAGAGGGGTGTTAAGTTTAAGGCAATTGTATAATGTATTTGCTTACGAATAATTGAATTAGAAAATGTTATACGTAAAACTTCACACATCATTACTTAATATATACAATATGAATCGTGTGATTAATTTTTTTTTAAAATTACAATACAGAAACAAATACAACTGATGTGGCACCTCTATTTAAATTTACTTATGAGCAAACTGCGTAGTGGTGGGGAAATGTTGACAAGGTCAACAACGTCATTACGATGAAGTAGTAGTATTATTACAGTTTGGGCGATAGTGATTACGATTACAAATTATATGGAACAGTTACAACCCCCCTCCCCCATGGACGCCTCTGTAAAAAAATGTTTGTCATAATACCACTGCTACTTATTTAAATCTATTTCTGTAATATATATTTGTGTAATATATATTTGTGTAATATATATTTGTGTAGTATATAGGCCTATGTATGTTTAGAACAGTCATCTACAAACTGACGCTATGTTCACTCTGAGTTGGTTATCTCTCCCCCCCCACCACCACCACCACCACGATTGTGTAGAGCGACATTAATGTCACACCTAGGTATACACTGGGTTGGATAATTGACCTAAAGTGACCGGACAGTGGTGAATGAAGTTGAACCTCCCCCCACCCCCAACCCACCCCGAACTGATCTGTTAAGTACATGTAGAAAAACGCGTAATGATGTACTAAAGTACCATGCCGCCAGAAAAATTATCTTTTTAAACGTAAAACTCTGTGAATATTGTTTTTGCAATTACCTGTAAAAAGGTGTGTGATCAATACAGTGATCTAACCCATACCTATCACTATGTTAAAAATGATCTTTAAAGAACACAATTAACAGTAGTTAATTAAAATATACGATCTGAACTAAAATACCGATATTTAGTTAAATGTAAGCTGTTATTCCGAATGTTTTTCCATTGCATTGAAAAGCGTGGTTTTATACCAACTCTGATTTTAAAAACTTTCAATATGCTGTAATACTTTAGCATTTATAATGACGATATATTAAGTTCTGATTACAGACAAAAACATTTTGTAAACACGAATAGTGTTAAACAATTCCATTATATTCTTAAGTAATTATTTATTAGTTTTTGGACATTTATAATTAAATGTGTAGATATATACATATTTATATTAAGAGAGTGATTATTATGTAAGACATTTTTTTTACAAGAATTACAAAACAGATTGTGTTACGTTAATTGTTTTTGGTTGTAGTGTGTGCATATTTTTTGTTTGTTTAGATTGATACAATTTTTGTTTTGTCGGCCTACATTGTGTGTTTTTCTTATTTCTTCAGAGTGCTACTTTCAAATTATTTTACATCATAGCGAAGTAATGACATACAGCTAGTATTTAATTATATATATATATATATATATATATATATATATATATATATATATATATATATATATATATATAAATTATATATATATATAATACACGTATATAGAAAGTGTTAAATATTCGGCGCCTTTTTTTTTGCTCTTTTCGCTCCCCCTACAACGAAAACCTGGATACGCCTCTTATGTCGGTACATGTAACTGGATTTCGTACTGGCAAATTTTGTTTTCATTCGTTTTTAAAATATAGCCATTTCAGAAAGCCGATTCGTCAGCATGTTTGTTTATAAGCCATTCTATTTTCCCACGTTTTCTTTAACTTGCTTTTGCGTCTGTTTGTTTGGTTTTCCAATCAAATCTTGCGATCAAAATTTCGGGCAGTTCCCAGTTAGCTAGCGCGCTGAAATTTTCAGGGAAGCTTTGTTTCCGATGACAATAGAATATTCAATTGTTATTATTACTAAATTGATCCATGGAAACATTTTATTGATCATTTTAGACCCCTATATATTTGTACAAAAAAGGGACATAACCTAGTAATTGTAATTTGATGAAAACAAGCTTCGGTACTTTCCCTCTTGTGGCTTACTGGTTTGCACGCGAGGGCTAAATGGTGAAAGAAACGGCAACACATAAGAAACGTCGATTGGAAAAGGCACGTGTTTTTTACGAGTTGTCTTCGTTGACCCAAAAAAAAAGCGAATGCCAGAAGATAAAATCGATAGCAAGATTTGAATGCAAACAAACAGACAAAGACTAAAAAGTAGAAAATAATTATCATTAAAAAAGTTTTTAAAAACCCACGTTTTCTGATTGAACTAAAAAGTAGAAAATAAATGCAATACATCACCATATTGCAAGCGATCACTCTACTATAAGCGATGAAAAATGTGGGGTGCCGTGATTTTCTTACAGTTTCTAATACAATTGGCTCTCTACAAGCTCCCTAATAAAAGTCAATAGTATTGTCTAATCAATAGTAATATAACTTTTAAATCTTATATTAACAATGACCGATAAAAAACTGAAGTCCACTTCAGCGCAATGTTGGCGAGTCTTCTTTTGCTCATGCGTAGGACATGGCCAAGCCATCTCCATCTCCTCATTCGAACTTCTGAGACATTATCTTTTAATTCTGTCCTTCGCCATATTTTGCTTGTTCGGGACTTTGTCGTCCAGCTTTATTCTGAGGATACGTTGGAGGGATCTTCTTTCGAAGCCTCTGAGTCGGCTCTCTCCTTTCTTGTTTAGTTTCCATGACTCTGCGAGCATAGAAGAGTACAGAACGTACATTAGGCTTGTAAATCCTTATTTTAGTTCTCTGCTGCAGTGTGAGTTTTCCGTAAAAAGAAAAGTTTTTTTAAGTTCACAAGGACGGCGCCCCAGGAGGGTGCGATTTTTCTCTATATACGATTTATAAAAATAAAAGTCGGATGCGGCTCGATACCGTTCATTCGAGTAACATGAAAATTTGAATACTTTTTGTCAATACACTGTTTGGCGCCCAGAGGTTCCTGATCAATTTCAATTTATTTCAATTTATTCAATTTATTCAAGCGGTAGCAATTGTAGGCACGGAGGCCATTGATTCCACATTGGCCGTTTTGAAAATAATCAAATAAAACAACAACGTAATAGCAGCATTTAAAAAAAGCAATTGAGTAGTAAAGACATAACAGTAACATAGCACTAAAATGTGGAATAAAGAAATAATATTACATAGTTATAATGCAAAATGAGATAAAATAAGAATACAATAGATGAATGAGAAAAGT